AAGGCTTCCATTGCGGTAATTGTGGAGCTGGGATGTGAGGAGCCCTGGAGCAGGGACTGTCTCCAAGGGCTATACAGGGTGTCATGCTTCTCTCAGGTACTAAGTACAGTCTCCTGAAGTGAAAAATTGAGGCAAGACTCTGACAGAGTGTTCCTCAGAGAGCTGGGGGAACTGAGGCAGAGATCCCAAAGGCCTGGTTCCCTCAGGGCTGTGGGCAAGGTCTCCAAACCCTTGGGAGCTTCTCAGAAGGGGGCAGCGTGGCCTGGGTGTGACTCCTCCTTTCAGGCCAGCCAGGGATAGCATGTTCACAAGCACCAGAAGAAGCTGTGGCCACGGCCGTGCAGAGGCCACTTCTCTTAGCCTGGATGGGGCCCAGAGCTGGTTTCGTGAGAGCTGAGTCTAGGCTTGGTATGTGTCATAGTCAGTTGGAGTTGCTGTAACAGAGGGCCATAGACTGGGTGGCTTGAACAGCAAACATTTATTTCTCACAGTTCTGGAGGCTGGAAGTCCAAGATCAGGGCACCAGCACGGTCGGGTTCTGGTGAGGACCCTCTCTGGCTCGCAGACTACCGCCTTTTCATTATACCCTGACATGGCGGAAAGAGAACAGAACTCTCTGGGGCCCCTTTTATAAGAGCAATAATTCTATTCACAGGGGCTCTACCCTCATGACCTAATCACCTCACCCAGGCCCCACTTCACTATCACACTGAAGAGTTAGGATGCATTCCCCCAAAAGTCAGCAGATGACTGTGGGGGGGACAAAAACATTTAGTCCAGTGGTCCCCAAGCCCTGGGCCGGGCCGCAAACCAGTACTGAACCATGGCCTGTTAGGAACTGGGCTGCACGGCGGGGGAGCTGTCTGAGAGCATAAAACCTCCTGAGCTCTGCCTCCTGTCGGATCAGCAGCACCGTTCCGTTCCCATAGGATCACAAACCCTATTGAGGACTGTGCCTGCAAGGGATCTAGGTGGTGCCCTCCTTATGAGAATCTAATGATCTGAGGTACAGTCCCCTCCAGGTCTGTGGAAAAATTGTCTTCCATGAAACTGGTCCCTGATGCCGAAAAGGCTGGGGACTGCTGATTTAGTCCATAACGTTATTTGAAGATCCCAGGTGATGCTCCTACTCCTCTTCAGTCCTCAGCTTCACTCTGGCACCACTGTGAGCACCGGGAGACCTACCAGAAGTTACTGGAGGACATTGCTGTCCTGCACCGCCTGGCTGCCCGCCTCTCCAGCCGAGCTGAGGTGGTGGGCGCCATCCGCCAGGTGAGCCTCTCCAGCCCCCAGCCTTGCTGACTCTGCTCTACCTACGTTAAGTAGAGAAATCACCCGAGCAGTGGCCACTACAGATACCACTCGGAGATGGCTTCCTCTGGGCCAGACATCCTATGTACATCATTTCGGTATTATTCAGAGTATTTTTAGCAGACCACTGAACCCTCAAGATGCTTTGTGGAAAAAGTTCTCCATGGATGCACAAGCTGGAGGATTACTCCATACTATCTTTCTTTCTTGGAAATTTCTAACACATTGGCCTAATCAAGGCTTTAAGAAGTCTTGTGGTGGAAAAGGCTGTTCACTTTACCTACATAGTTCCCAAATGTATTTCACTGAAGAACTCCCCCCACACCCCTCTATTTCATTTTTCTCAAAAAATACCTATTCAACTCCCATGGAGCTAGTATTCGACAAAACTTGCTTTAGGAAAAACTGCTTTGTCTCATTAAATCCACCCAGCAGCCCTATACATATCCTGTTTCCCAGAGGAAGATGCAGAGTCTCAGAAGGTAAAAGTGCTCGTGAGTGGCAGAGCGGGGCACAGGCCCAGGTCTGTTTCTCTCTTGGCCACTTTGAAGTCCTGAAGCAGACAGAGCACTGCCCTGGCCCTGCACGTGGTAGCAGGAGCGTACTGCCCCACTTCCAGTCCTGGCTCCACCCTTCATTTGTGGTGTGACCTTGGGCTGCTTACCGAGGTCTCTCTGCTTCAGTCTTTTCAAGTGTAAAATGAGGATGGTCACAGTATCTGCCACGGAGGGTTGCTGCCGTGCTTGTAAACCATTTGGATATTGTTATTACTGTTGCTATGACATGAATCTGTGTCCTGCTGCTCTGGTTACACGAGAGGAGGTTCCTGGGGTAGTGAAGCCTGAGCAGTTCCTGGTAAATAAAAGGAGGACCAGCCGCTGGGCCGTCCCACCCTGTGTCCCTCAGGACAAGGACACCTGACTCAGCAGTGGTGCCCAGTAAGTCACTCCAGCTGGGAGTAGTAACACAGGAGGACTCTAGAGAAGTGGCTGGTCTCAGCCCCGCATGGCTGTGCGACCTGTTCCCAGAAGCCACTAGGTATGTCCCTCTGTGGCCAGGCAGGGTCTCAGGTAGATCCTCTGACGGATCTAAGCGGGGTGTGAGCAGAGAGAAATTGTTCTCGTTGTCTGCAGGCTTCCCACACGCATACCTCAGCCCATCTGCCACTCACGCTGTCTGCTCCGTTCTCCTAATGGCTCCCTCGTCCTGGCTCCCATGCCTCTGTCTTTGCCTTCCTCTCTGGCTCCCGGGGGTCAGGTCAGGCTTTATCCTGTCTTTCCCTGCCGCTCTCACTCCACCAGACTGCCACCAGTTTCACTCCCTTGAGTCCCATACTTGTGACCTGATGATGTTACTCTCTTACTTTAAGGGAGATATTCAATGGCTCCCCTTTTCCTTCAGGATAAATGCAAATTCCTTTGTCTAGCATTCAAGGTCCTTCACAACCCAGACTTACGAATAGACCCAACTGCTTGCTGATTCCTACATAGATAGGAGGGCCTGCAGTGTCTGGGCTTTCTGGACAGCCCTGGTTTATGTCGATTGTCCCAGCGTAATTTGTCATAGTGCCTTTCTTTGCTCTCCAGAGGACTCCTGTCCAGAGGATAAATCCTCATCTACATATAAGCCCTTTGCTGCCCTGCCTCTAGACTCCTCTTGGAGTTCCCTGGCCTGAATGCTCTGACCCTCCTGCCCTGGTCTATGTGCCCAGATGCTGCTCACATCCCCATATCCACTTAATTCCATCTCCATGAAGCCTCCCCTGACCCGTTCTCTGCAAGCAGAAACAACTCTCCTTTACCTCTCATCTCCTGCAGTGTGGTGGCTGTGCTTTTCTATTCTCCCTGAGCGCAGGTGCTGAGTCTACCTCTCAGCTCACATGGCAGACAGCAAACTCTTCGGAGGGCAGAGTCTTGTCCCTGTGTCCATTCGATTCTCCTAGCCCAGACCCTAGCTCAGAGCAAATAAGTGCCGATGGAGGCTTTCTTCCAATAGCCTCATGTACTCACACACTTCTTGCATGCAGGAAAAGCGCATGTCGAAAGCAACAGAAGTGATGATGCAGTATGTGGAGAATCTAAAGAGGACGTATGAGAAGGACCATGCGGAGCTCATGGAGTTTAAAAAGCTTGCAAATCAGAACTCAAGCCGCAGCTGTGGCCCCTCTGGTAAGGACTTAGGCCCCTGCCCCATCTTGGCCCTACGATATTGGGAACCAGCCCAACCCTGGGCATGGGTGCCCGTGTCCCAGCAGTGATGAGGGAATGAGAAAAGAAATAAAGACAAAGACACAAGAATAGAATTTTACAGCATGGGTCCAGGAGTCCGACCGCTCTCCCACAGGGTGACCCGCCTTGGCACTGAGCTCTGGGCTCCAAGCGCTTTTACTAGGTAAATTATCTTGTTAATTTTGCAGGCTGTGGAGAGGGGGGTTGAGGAGGAGGCTAGCCAGAGGAAGAGCATGTGTCTGCAGCATTCAATGGCAAAACATAGTTCTCCTAAGAAATGCTAATTAAGGGCACTGAGATTTTAGCACCCATTGTCTATCCAGGTGTTCTGGCAAGAGAGGTGCTGCAGGTAAGGATAAGGCGCCATAAGGTCTGACCACACACAGTGCCTCAAGGGGCTTTTATCTCCCAAGAATTGTGGTCACAGAGCCATCGGAATTGCTCCGTATTGTGAGAACATAAGCAGAGCCTGTGGCCTTCCGGTGTTCTCTTCTGACCTTACCAGCTCCCATCTGCAAAGACCCTTCAAAGTCTTGTGAGCAGAGATTGCATTACTTCCCAGAATCTTTTGCATAAGCTCCCTTGACAAGATCCTCACACAAACTGTATGTTGTGAAGAGTTGTGGGACCGAAGCAGTTTTTTCTGCTCTGTAACCACACCGCAGTGTTCTGCAGTGACAGGGCGCTCTCAGATGGTCTTTGCCATAGGCCTCCTGTTACCGCTTGATTTCTGCTTTTATTTTACTGCACCATAGTTTGGATATGATCCATGGCACAAATCTCAGTGTACTAAAAGCAAAGCAAGCTTGTAATCATTTAACTGTAAGTAACACAGGTCTGCCCCTGGCCATCTCTTCCCACACTACAAGGTGGATCTCTGAGAGCTCTTGCCTAGGATTAGAGCTGTCAGAGCAGCCCAGGACTTATTTTCAGTTGGGCAAGACTCCTTGCCCCTGCCCAGTACTGCCCATAGGGGCCTCCCAGCAGCTGCTTCAGTGGGCCTGGCAGGGTAGTCTGGAACCAGGAAACATGAGCATTCCCAAAGTGACTTCCTAACTCCCAGAGCAATAAATGACAGTGGCTGACCAGAATACAAAGCCCACAGGCCTCAAGAGCTCTTGGACTTACAGGGTCTGAGAGTGACCCTAGACCCTATAAGTCTGTGCTTTGGGACCCCGTTTTAGGCAGCACATGTGAAGGAATTTGGGCTTTATTGTGGAAAACATTAGGGATCCAACCAATGATTTTAATCAAGAAAATAACTTGATCATATATGTAGTTTAAGAAGACTTCCTTTAACTGTGGTGTGGCAATTACATTGTTGGGACAAACCAGGGACAGGAAACCCCATGAAGATGTTCTTGCAACAGTCCAGGTAAGGGGTGAAACCTGGGCAGTTAGGGTGGAGTGAGAGTCTGGTGAATATGTTACTGAGAAAAACAGCAGACTCGTGGATAAGACAAATGTTTCAAAGAAATGCTCGTGTTTAGAAGTTCTATACGGATTGCTGTAGGAGCACAGAGGAGGGGCAACCTGATTCTGCCTTGAAGGGAGACAAGGAGGGCTTCAAAGAGGGAGGCTATCTGGTCGGTGTTTTAAAGTAAAAATAGGAGTTCTCCAGCCAACAGAGGAAGATACATCCCGAGTGGAGAAAGCATCATGGACAAAGGTGTGGAGGTTGAGGGTGAAAAGAAGTTGAAACAAACAGTTTGCCATAGTGGCAGTGTTGGGTGTGGTAGTGACAGGTTGAAACTGAGACTTGGAAGACCGGGGCCATATGCCAGGCCACGATAGCAATTTATGCCTTTAGGCAACAGGGAGTCATTGGTAAGTTTACACCACATGACGTAATCAGGCTTTGTTTTTAGATTATTCTGACTTCAGTGGACAATATATTGGAGTTGTGCAAAAGGCAAGGTCAAGAGAGACGAGTTGGGAGGCTCTTTCTCAGTCCAGGAGGAAGAGGTTGGTGCCTTGGACCAGATCTCTTTGTGGGCACTGTCAGGGTTTGGACTCTGGCTGATGAAGGTGGCTAGCAGGAGAAAACAGACCCTTTAGCAACAGGAATCCCTGTGGAATGCAAACATCCGTGTTACCAAGAGCTGGAGGAGGGAAAGTACAGAAAGTATAACAGATGGAGAAACCTTTATAAACAGGAGGTTTCACTAGTTTCCTGGAGAATATCAGTGACACGTCCCAGAGTCCAAAGGCAACACACACGCATGTTCCAGACTGTCTGCCTTGGATCTGTCAGCAAGGCTCCTGACCCACATGCACCTGGACCTCTAACAAACCATTTTCCATCAGTGGTGGAAGCTGGGGAAGTTGCTTCCAAAGGAATCCTAATGCATGGACTCCTGCATTTATTGCCACACAAGGTTTCCTGCAAACCACCTTACCTAAGATTTATAAGATGAACAGTTACCCATGAGCCCCATTGATTCATTCTACAGACATTGATTGATCACCTTTGGTTCACCCTATACGATACTGGAATATAGAGGTAAAGGGCACACAGTCACAGACCCAAAGGAGCTCCCAACCTTTGGGAAGTCAAGGCAGCATAGCCAGTGCTATGTCAGAAGAAAGCAGACTTCCAAGGAGAGCACACTACAGAGTCCCACGTTCAGTCTAGTGGGGATGAGAAAATGCTCACCATAGGAAAGGTCACAATAGTTGTACATGTTTTTCCGATATTTGTTCCCACTCCAGTTGTTCTCCCAAGCTGTACCTCAGCTTGGGTTAGGCAGAGGGGCTATAACCACTCAGCAGTTGTTTCCATAAGATTCTCTATGACTGTTCCCTAATAGTGTTTGTGTCTTAAGTCTTCACACAACCTCTGCAATATTTGACTATGCCTGGGATTTTGAAGACTACAGTAAATAAAATATCCCTGATTTCAAGGAAGGTGATACATACTCTTTTAAAAAAAAAACAAACATGTTTCTTTCTGAATATGAAATTTACCAGTTGTCTGCATTTTTTATTATTTCCTTAATGTAGATTTCTAGAAGTATAAATACTAGCTCAGGGGAAAGAAATATTTATAAGGCTCTTAAAGCAAATTATTTTTAAATAACCCATTGATGTTTTCACTGAATGGGTTACAATACTCAATTCACTGTCTGTGCGATTGACACCATCCTTGTTCTTTCTTTTTATAAACACGCATGTCTTCGATAAGCAAAAAATGTCTTATTTTATTGTTTTAATTGTATTTCTTGACCTTTCCAAATGTTTATGAAACATTTGTATTTCTACTTTTTAAAATTCTGTAATTATGACCTTTGCCCACTTGTAAGCTTGGTAGTTTATTAATTTATATGAACTCTTTACATATGAAGAATATTTTATTTGCTATTTTGGCTGACTGGAAAACTTGAACATCTTTTGACCACAAGCACATGTCTACTGGACAAAATAAAGCAAACCTTTGTCTAAAAGAATAGCTGAATCCACAGGAAAAGAAATTGAAATACCCAGATACAAGAAAAGAAAAGAGAACTGAAACCAAGCTGACCCTGCAGCTTCCTTAGGGATGAATGTCAGCCTCAGTTATCTGGGGGCTGAGCTTTCACACTTGCCTGTGATCTGAGAGAAGGCCTGGAACACCTGTGGCAGAGAGGTAACACAGATTCCCACAGAAAGTTAAGGCCTTCCAAGGACAATATCTTCGGATGGAATTTGGATAAGGAAAAAATAATAATCACCAACCAGCAGAGAAATAAGGAAATTTGTTTCACCCTGGGCTTTTGTAGCTTTTTCCTCCCTCAGAGGAAAAGTATGTGGTCACAAAGAGACAGCAGTGATGATGCAATATGCAGAGGATTTGAAAAGGACAGCAAGATGGTACCCCTAAGACATGTTAGAAATAAGCAGAAAAGCACTCTGGAGAGACAAACTCTGTACCCAGACACACAGGATTCCTCTAATAAAGCCTCACTGAAGATGAATTCACAATTTAAAATTATAAAATACGCAAGGAAACAATTCATCATGAACAAAAATCATCAGGTATATCAAACAATAGGATTATATCTCAACCTCAGAAAATAAAATGATCTGATAATTTTTAAATTATACTTTAAGTTCTGGGGTACATGTGCAGAACATGCAGGCTTGCTACATAGGTATACATGTGCCATTGTGGTTTGCTGCATCCATCACCCTGTCATCTACATTAGGTATGTCTCCTAATTCTATCCCTCCCCTATCCCCCCGCCCGCTGCTACCCCTCCCTTAGCCCCCCAATCCCCGACAGGCCCTGGTGTGTGATGTTCCCCTCCCATGGATGTTCCTTGTGTCCATGTGTTCTCATTCTTCAACACCCACTTATGAGTGACAACATGTGGTGGTTGGTTTTCTGTTCTTGTGTCAGTTTGCTGAGAATGATGGTTTCCAGCTTTATCCATGTCCCTGCAAAGGACATGAACTTGTCCTTTTTTATGGCTGCATAGTATTCCATGGTGTATATGTGTGACATTTTCTTTATCCAGTCTGTCATTGATTGGCATTTGGGTTGGTTCCAAGTCTTTGCTATTATAAACAGTGCCACAATGAACATATGTGCATATGTCTTTATAGTAGAATGATTTATAATCCTTTAAAGATAAGCTTAAAATTGTTAGAGGTGGCTGGGTACAGTGGCTCACATCTGTAATCCTAACACTTTGGGAGGCCAAGGTACAAAAATTGCTTGAGGCCAGGAGTTTGAGACCAGCCTACAAAGTGAGCCAACAAAGTGAGACCCTATCTCTACAAAAAATAAAAATCAAAAACAATTAGTTGGACGTGGTGGTGGGCACCTATACTTATAGCTTCTTAGGAGGCTAAGGTGGGAGGATTGCCTGAGCCCAGGAAGTCAAGGCTGCAGTGAGCTGTGATTGTGCCACTGCACTTCATCCTGGGTGACAGAGTGAGACCCTGTCTCTAACAACAGCAAAAATTATTGGAGACATAAAAGAATGGATCAAAAATAGAGAAAAAGAATACAGTTATCAAAGAAGAATAAAATAGAGCTTTTCAAAATGAGGAATAAAGTCATGGAAATTAAAAACTCATGAGTTTAGGTGTGGTAGTTACTATATTTGAGGCTATTCTTCATTATTCCAGATCTTCTTCTTCTGGACACATTTACCCATCTCCTTGAAGTCACAAGGCAAGGCCATGGGACTTGCTTTGGGGAATGAAATGTGAGTAGAAGGACGTGTCACATCTGAGCCTAGGCCTTTAAGAACTAGTATGCAATCTGCCCTGTTTCTTCCTCCTAACATGATAAACATCATTGCTCCAGAATACTAGAAGGCCCATTAGGCTGAGTCCTGAGTGAGGAAACACAGAGCCGAGCATGCCGCAGATGCAGAAGTAGATGGGAATGTGGCATAAGCAAATCAAATCTTCCTTGTTATTGGCCACTAATACTTTGGAGTTGCTTATTATTACTATGCTAGTAAGCTAGTATAACCTAGTTTATCTTTCTTGATTGTAACATTTAAATCAAATTGGGCACAGTTGAAGAAAAATTAGCTAATTTGAAGGTAGGTTTAAGAAATGTACCCAACATACAGTTCAGAGAAATAAATTGATTAAAATTATGAAAGAAGCATTGAGATATGGAATATAGGATGTAGAATGAGAAAGTACCAAATACATTTCTTAGGCCATCCTTAAGGAGAAAATCAAGGAAAGAAAATATTTTAAGAAAGAATGGCTGAGGATTTTCCAGAACTAAGCAAAGTCATCAGTCATTGGATTCAGAAAACATAGTGAATTCCAAACAGGAAAAATAAAAATACCCCAAAGAGAAACTGTGGAACAGTAAAGACAAAGGGAAGATCTTAAAAGTCATCAAAGAGAGCAGATTATTTACAAAGAATGACATTTCTCAATGGCAATAATAGAAAAAGGCAATGGAATAATCTCTTAAAAGAACTAAGAGAAAATAACTGTCAACCAAAGAGAACACAAATGGCTAAACTACCATGCAAGATTGAGGGCTTGGTAAAGACCATTTGGAGACAATAGAGAAAGTTTACCTCTCATAGACCATTGCTGAAAGAACAACTAGAGGATGTACCTAAGGAAGAATGAAATCAAACTCAAACACATGCTCACAAATGTTTGTTGCAGCACTGTTCACAATAGCAAAGACATGGAATCAACCTAAGTCCCCATCAATGACAGAGTGGATAAAGAAAATGTGGTACATACACACCATGAAACACTATGCAGCCATAAAAAAGAATTATATCACCTCTTGCAGGGACACAGAGCGGGAGGCACTTATCCTTAGCAAACTAACACAGGAACAGAAAACCAAATCTGCATATTCTCACTAATAAGTGGGAGCTAAACATTGAGTACATATAGCCACAAACATAGGAACAGCAGGTACCAGGGCCCACTTGAGGGTGGAAAGTAGGAGGAGGGAGAGGGGCAGAAAAAATAAATACTGTCTACTAGGCTTAGTACCTGGGTGACGAAACAATCTGTACAACAAATCCTCATGACAAGTTTATGTATACCTGCACATGTACTCCTGAACCGAAAAAAGTTAAAAAAAAAAAAAATTGAGCTCAGAAGAAAGGAGTAGGATACAACGAATAGTGAACAAAGACATTTGTAAATGTGGATAAATCTAAATAAGCACTCTGTAGAAACCAACAAACATAATAATTTGAGAATACAAAAGCAAGGTGAAATAAAAATACTGGAAAACAATATAATGAAGAGGGAGAGTTATTGTTTTAAGGTTTATTCAAGAAAAGAATAGAGATCTTGTTTAATTTTAAAGTCAATATGTTCAAAAGTTAAGAGGACACGCTAAAGATTAAAAATAGAATGTGTAATTTCCAAACAAATGTGTAGGGTGAGAGGAGGGGTAGAAAAAGTCAATGAATAAAACAAAATAAATAGAAAATATATAATTACATGGTAGACATAAATACAAATATATTAATCACAAGAAATATAACTAGTATAAACCTATTGATTAGTAGAGAGCCTCAGATTAAATTATGAAAAAAAAAACAAAAAAAAAAAACAGGCCAGGTGTGATAGCTCATGCCATAATTCTAGCACTTTGGGATGCCAAGGCAGGCAGATCACTTTAAGTCCAGGATTTGGAGAACAGCCTGGCCAACATGGCAAAACTCTGTTTCTACTAAAAATACAGGCGTGGTGGCACACATCTGTAATCCCAAAAACTTGGGAGGCTGGGGCACGAGAATCACTTGAACCCAGGAGCCAGAGGTTGTGCCACTAGCCAGGATTGTGCCATGGCACTCCAGCCTGAGTGACAGAGTGAGACTCTGTCTCAATAATAATAACAATGAAAAAACATACAGCTATGTGCTTTTCAAGAGACATAGCAAAAATATATGGATATATAAGAAGAGAGAGATATGCAGACTAGATAATATTGGTCAAACTGAATTGAGCTAGCAAACACCTTTCTCTGCACATACTCAGGGGTTTCCTGGTGGCAGTATTATGCTGGTATGAAGCTAAACGTATTACATGAGTTTTGTCACTTAAAGTATATAGTAAGGAGAAGAAAATCCTAGGGTGGTAGCTTCCTTTGTTCTGAGTCATTTGGTAAGTAACATATTAAAACTACTGTCAGCAAGTTTTCATTATTTACTGGCACCACACCTTCCTTGCTCATAGTTTCTCTGACTACATCCTTGAACAAGCATGAAATGACCCAATAAGTCTTGGTAATGCTGAGTAGTTTTCATACACCATCTAGGGAGTTATTCTGAGTGTGCTTAGTGGCGTCAGATAAGAGGTCCAGGACTGGGGCTTCCTATGGTGAGCAGTGGAGTTAGGATAAAGGTTTTGTGAAAAAAACAAAAACAAACAAAAAACCCACTCTGCAGCCCCATCTCAGAGGGTGAAGTGCCAAACTCAGTGTCCCCAACACCCAGGCCCTCGGGCTATCCCTTGAGGGCCAGTTCTGACCCGTGGATACCGTAGCTTAGTTTCTGTTTCCTGCTGGTGCCTAGTCTGAAACTTACCTGTGTTCTCTTCTCCGTTCTCCTCTGCTGCAGAAGATGGGGTCCCTCGCACGGCACGGTCCATGTCCCTCACACTGGGAAAGGTATGTATGTCCAAGGAACAACACGGCTCCGGAAGGAGTACCACAGAAGTTTCCATAGTCACCCAAGCAATCGTTCATTCTGGGATCCATGGATGCCAGAGAACTTCTGAACATGGTTTCTATTCGGCTTCCCACACTCTCAAGTTTAGCCTCTGACATCTTGCTTTTCTTGCTCGTGGTTTCCCTAACTATATATACATCCCTTAAATGAATATGAAATGATCATAAGCCTTCCTATTGCTACAGGCAGCTTTAATACACTCTCTAGGGTGTTACACAGAGACTGTGGGGTCATTTCCGTTCTGTATCTCCAAGATCTCATAGGCTAAAATAGAACAGATTGAGCGTTTGCTCACCACAAACAGAAAATTTGGGTCAACTTTAGCCACTCTCTCCACACCAATTCCATCATTGCTACTGCAAAACCAAAATATCCAGTTAATGCCATTATTGCATTAGAAATGAGTAGGCTTTTTCCAAGCCCTTCTGAACTATGGCTATTGCTACCTCCAAGACAGTGATCCTGGTCACTTCTCTTTCCACAGAATATGCCTCGCCGGAGGGTCAGTGTTGCCGTGGTTCCCAAGTTTAATGCCCTGAATCTGCCTGGCCAAACTCCCAGCTCATCACCCATCCCCTCCTTACCAGCCTTGGTAAGTATGATGACATCTGTCTTCCAGCACAGGATAGTAGAATAAGCTGTTCCATCATACTTCTAAGGGGGGACAGGGTCAACAAGGAGAGGACATTTCCAATGTAGAGTCTGAGTGATAGGCTCAAAAACTCAATATAGACCAGGCTGCATGTACTCTACTACTCTGGGAAGTTGCAGTGCCCTTGAGCATGGTGTTGGCACTCAGCATTCTTTGCAAACAATAACTCTTTTGGGGCTTACACCACAGTCTGCCAAGGTGGTTATAATTTTTCTCTACTCTGCAGTGGGCTTAAGTATCTGATGTTTGTAACGTGTGATGGGTGGTAGAATAGCTTTGAACCCTAGATTCTCTGATTCCGGAGCCTGAGTTCTTTAATCCATTGTTATCCTGCCTCATTTCATGGCAGCATTGTTCGTAACAATGGGAAACAACCCCATTTCCCTAAGAGATTGGTTAAGCAAATGGATATCCCTATAAGGGGTTTCTGTAGAATTGTTGTCCATAATGTATTATGAATCAAAAGCAAGTAAAATAGGATATACAAAACCTAGTGTTTAAACAGTATAATTCTGTTTTGTACTTTATAAAAGAGTGTGTTTCTGTGTATAGACATAGAAATTTCTGGAAGAAGATATGTGAAACAGCTAATAATGGTTATCTCTAGGCAATGGTAAAATAGTTCATTTTTATTTTCTTCCTGATGCCTTTTTATATTTCTAGAATAAGAATGTATTAGTAATCAGGAAAAATAAGTTTCCATTTCTTTTAGACAAAGACTGTATCTAACAAAATATTTTCTGTAACCCAGGCCTTTGTGCATCTGGCTAATTCTCTCTAAAACTTTTCTGATTCTTTCTTCAGTGGTTTCTCTGTTCCCTGTCTATGACTAGCACTACGCTCTAAGGAAACAATCTGATTTGCATGGAAATTCAGGTTCTGTTCCATGTAATGCCAACGGATAGTATTCACTGCTTCCTGCCTCAAGCATTTCAATCATCTAAGAAATCAACCTAAATTCCCAAATTACTCACTAAAATAAAGCAACCTGAAAAAAAATGTTTAAGGATATTGGAGAGGGCTGGTTAGAGTGTTTTAGCAGATCTATTTCCCATACTTTGCCTAAAAGCATAAATGTGTTTTCCAAATATATATTCCTTTACACTAGGGGCTGGCAATCAGGGACATGGATTAAAAACCACATAGGGTACTTTTAAAACATTTCTCCCCCAGGCCCCACACCAAGATTCTGGAGTGGATCAATGCTTTTTAAAAAACCTCCCCCAGGTGATTCTAATGTACAGCCAAAATTGAGAACCATTACTTAAACCAAATCCATTGCAACAACACAACATGGAAGTCCTGGGGAACAGAGATGGGCCTGTCCCATCACTGTCCATCACAGGGAGCCTGGGACCCGCATTTGTAGGAGGCCCACTGGTGTTCAGTCACAGTCGGTAGGCAGGACAGAGAAAAACTGATGGCTCCTCTCCAGAATGGAGCCTCAAAATGTAAACTCACCTCTTCACTTAAGGAAACTTAGAAGAGGCGAAGGAAAAGGAGCAAGCTGCATGTGCCCTAGAGGAAAGGAGGACAGGGAAGGCCCAAGGGGGAGGGACAAGGCCTGGGCTCAGAGGCAGATTGGAAAGTGGGGGCATGGAGGAAAGAAGAGAAGCAACAGCCCCTCTCCCAGCATCATTGGACCCAGCAGCTCTGGCTTCTGCCTTCTGTAGCTTACCCTCAATTCTCTGTCTTCTGTTTTCCATTCAGTCAGAACCACCCAATGGGAGAGGCAACCTACCTGTCACTTCAGCACTGCCTGCACTTTTGGAAAAGTAAGTTTGTCGATTTTCCTCTTAACTTCAAGGATCTTTCATGAAAATTTCCCCGTTTTACTTTCCTTCCTCCAATCCTCACCCTCAAAATGCAGTGGAAAGCAAATTAAGTTTTAAGGGAAATGAATGGGAGTCTGAGACCCACAAAGATTTCAGAACCTGTTTGCAAAATTCTTGAACCAGGAAGATGCTCTGACTGAGGCCAAGTGTACCCAATCTTAGAGAGCCCAGATTGGAGCCTTCTCTGTCAGTTGGGATTCTTTGGATTATAGACAAAAGAAAGCCCCAGCTCAATGGGACTTAATAAGTCCAGAGGTTAGGCTGCTCCCGATACGGCACAGCAGGGCTGTAGCTTAGCCTGTCTACAATTTCCTTACCTCTGGCCACATTGTATGTTAACTTCATCATCAAGATTGTAGCAAATGGCTGCTCCAGACAGGACAATACCTAGAGGAAGAAAGGGACTGTTTCTTGCCATGTTCCTTTCTTAGGAATAAACCCAGAAGCCTTTCACCAGTTTTCCCTATTATCTCATAGGCAAATCTAGAAGGAAGTCCCTTTCTAAAAGAATCACTCTGGGAATGGGATTGTCATTATGGGATTCAGCTATTCCCTGGGATTGGTGAGAGGGTCAGCTTCCCATAAAGCAAAATGACTCCATGAAGAAGAGTAAATTCCTAAACAGAATCATGTTGCTGTTAGGAAGTGGGAAGGAAAATGCCTGTTGGATTAGCAGCCAGCAGTGTCTGTTATTTTCTAGCCTCTATGTAATCTGCAGATCTTTTCATCCTCAGCCAGAGCAAGGCAGGCTGTTTCTATGCACTCAGAGGAGTTTATAGCTTACTTTTCAAATTCTTTCATTTGCTTGTTGAGAAACATCTGGATCACACCTGCTGCCTCTAGAATTTTCCCCTTATGTCTTTTCTCACTTGGTAGAAGATCTACCTTATTCTTCCTCCTTCCTTGCCTCAAGACAGCTTCAGTCCTTTGTTTTTCTTTGCTGTGAGAAAAGTTTTGCTACCTGTCAGGGAATGTGTATGTTGGGACCCTTTTCAGTACAGACAAACTCCTACCTCCAGACTCAGCCTGTTTCCTTCATCTCTTATTATGTGCAGCCACCAGCTTATCACCCAGTGATTTGACGCTTGTTAGTCTTGAGGTTTGCCCAGCATTTCTTCTCTTTGCCGCCTCACCCCCATAAGCTCACAGGTGCTTTGTGTTATAGAGGGTCTCTTCGGGTCTCTCTCTGTCTTTTCTTGATCACTACAGGGAAATTGTCAAGAAGTGACACAACCACCACATGGAAGTAACTGAGTTTACAGAAACTTACCAAGTCCCTAGAGTCATAGTCTTTTATCCAGGGCCTCTGAATCTCTTCAGAAATGGTCACCTGATGCTCTGACTGAGAAGCACACTAAAGTTCTCCCTGCAAACCTTCCCTGTGGGTGCCCGAATCTCTACTTCAGAGAACCCTCAACTCTAGCTCCATTCTCAGCTGTAGGCCTGCAGAGCTACTCAAGGCAGATGGTCTCTTCAACAGACTCTCATCATGACAGAGCGGGGCCTGAACTCTGTAGAACTCTTGCCAGGCCAGTTGAGCACTTCTGTCCAAGGCAGTGGGGATCATGAAAACATGAGAGTTATCCTTGGTAAGAGAAACCGAGGTATAAAATTCAAGACAACAAGCAGCAGCCCCAAATTAGGAGTGTCAATGGGTGATGATCAATAGTGGCATCACCTTTCAGGGGTTTAGAACCTGGAGAGATAGGGACAGAATGGGGATTAAGGCAAGTCAAGCCAGAGGTTTCCAGGAAGAAGGTACCTGCAACTCACTCTTCGGGATGACCAGAGAGATTGCTGTTAGCCATGCTGGGGCTGACTCGCTAATTGGGAATACACCCATGTAAGAAGGGTTGCAAAGAGGGAAGGGCATCTTCAAAGGAAGAGGGGTTCAGGATGAACAACAGCTTCCCCTTCTGGATTTCTGAAAATGTTAAATAATTTCCATTTAAGACTGGAAACATTTACTCAATTCCCAACAGACTAACAATGAGACAATATATGAGTAAAAATGAATTCCTATCTTCTGTCCTATACACAAAGACAGTCAATTCTAGCTGCCCTACCCATATTGTGAAAGAGAATGTGCTATAGTTTAATATACATTGCTTTGGAGATTGTTGTATTCAGTTTCGTATTAAAGTGATTTTATCTTTCCTAAGCATACAGTGATGAACAGGAAAGGCGCTGGCTAAGCAAAGGATAAGCAGATTAAATAGCCTGTGGCGAACTCACAGGAAAATACACTGCTCCATGAGATTTCAAAGAATAATGAGCCTTGTTCTTGAAGGTCATTTCATAATGGACTGCTCTTCACTCAACAAGGGCCTAGGAACCTGCAGACTTAAACATATGGGTGGAGAGTGATATTTAAATTTAGTCTCAAAGATGAAGAAAAAACAAAGCTCAAGAGCAGTTCTGCAAGTCAGAATAGCTACATAATTGTAGTCTTTTGTTCTTTCATTCCTTCAACAATTAATCA